AGGAACCTGCGAAGCCCATTGTCTGAACGCAGGAACGTGTCTGGAGAGCGAAAGCGGCACCAAACTGTGCCGCTGCCAGCCCCAGTACACCGGTAGCACATGTGAGATTGACAGGTGTCACTACTGTCGGGATGGCGAGTGCGTCCGCAGCAATACTTTGACATCGGTGGTGAACTTCACCTGTCGGTAAGAGCACTTATAATTTGCCTCAGATTAACGGAAAAGAAACATAAATGCGTGAAGCTGTCACATTTTGCTCAATTTCTTTCTTTCCATAGCTGCACAGATGGCCGAGTCCAGCCCAGCTGTTACACGTGCGATACGAACGAGTACTGTGCAAATGGCCAGTGCTCTATAGACTCCAATACTCGCCTTCCAAAGTGCATGTGAGGAGTGCATTCATTCATATTTGTTGTCTATCAGTCTTGGTTAAATCCTTTGCATTGTTTCATAGTGTGCATGAATATTTCTGTTTGCATATATCTCTGTCATTATAATACTGCATAGATTACATATTTTTTATTGTGTCATCTTGTATTGGTGTCTGTGTTCGTGTGTAGATGTTCACCTGGCTGGGAAGGGCATCGCTGTGAGTCTGTGGCCAGTAGTGATGCTTCAGGTTCAGGCGGACGTGAGTCAGCTCTTCCACTGTGACGTTGATAACAGAGGTTTCTTGAGTTTTGTTTGATGAGGCTGTTTGTTTTTAATTCTTTGTGTGCAGGCACAGTCTCCATACTGATTGCAGTGCTGATGCTGTTGCTGCTGATCCTCCTGGCTGCAGGAGCGTTGTTCTGGTACAGGAGAAGGATGAGAGGGTGAGTAACACGACATTCAAAACTTTGATTTACTTTGACCTCTTCTTTTTGTTTTTTTGTTTCCTTTTTTCTTCCCCCTTTTCTTCCTCCTTTCCGTTCTTCGATCTGCACTTTTACCCTCCTCCTCTGTAATGACATCTCTTCTGCTCCTCAGGTCTAGCCGGCCCGGAAAAACCGGCTCCAGACGCTTGCGGTAACGGCTGCCAGGGTTACACTTTTCTCTCCATGCCCTCTTTCAGTTCTTCATTCTGAGGCTCTCTCTTTCCCTGCCTCTCCCTTAACCATGAGTTCCTGTGCTGTGTTTGGTCCTTAGTGTTGTGCCATTTTTTTCTGATGGTCATTGAGGCTGTAGGTCATCCCGCTCCTACAGTGTCCGTCCTGTGTAGTTATTCTCTTTCAAAGCAGGGCTCCAGGGCAGATCTATTGAAAAGATTAAATGAATAGATCTGTCTGTGTGTTAGCCAGTGCTGTAGGTCTTTCATATTGTTGTCCATCATATTGTGCCATAATGTACTGTGTTGTGGTTTGAGCTGTGGTAGTGTCTCTTGTAGCGAGACATGGAGAGTCCAGTAGCATTGTTCCAAGCTCTGACTGGAAAATGCAACTTCCCAAAATCCAGCATTTACTTAGCCATGGATACTTCATTCGTATTTTAGAGGAATGATTGTGGATTTATTGGGGGTCTGGGAAGATATCCAGGTCCAGTATGTCTGGATCTGACATTACCTCCTGTACATGAATGCTGGGTTTGTGTTGGTCCTTGTGCTGTGGCTTAGCCTGGATGGTGGTGAGAGTCATGCAATGCCTCTCCCCTCCCGTCGTAATGTGGCTGTGTCCCTGCTTGCACTCTTCAGGCAGCTCTACTCTTGAACAAAAGATGAAATTATGACTGCTCTCCTTGTCATTTTGTATAGGGCCAAGGGCTTCCAGCACCAAAGGATGACTAATGGGGCAATGAATGTTGAGATTGGAAACCCTGCTTACAAGATCTATGAGGGCGAGCCTGATGACGATGCTGGGGAGCTGCTAGATGCAGACTTCACTCTGGACCCAGACAAGGTAGAGAAAAATATAGACGTGTGCAAAACTTCAGTCACTCTTCATTTCTTTATAGTGTTCTTGCAAGTTGCCAGACTATTATAATGCAGTTTTTATTTAAAAAAAAATGTCCTGAGTAATAGTTTAATAGTTAGTATTTTCAGTCCAGTCCTTGTACCTGACTATTTTCAGAGGGATGCTTTCTTGTTTGTTAAGCCACTTAACGCCAACCTATTAATCATTGAAGGGTTTAAAAAAGGTGCGTAACTCAAGTGATGAAGCAGTTTTCTGTTTACACATAACAAGCAACTTAGCAAAGAACCAGTTTTATCTTTAGCCACTTTGTTATTTGCAGACTGTCGCAAACATCATCATCAGACAGCACAGACAAGCTTAAAATAGTATTGTTGCACCAACAAGGCGATTCCCAAAAAAGCTATTAGCCCAAAAAATTGGCATCTCTCATCATGATGTGCAGTGTGTCCTTAAAAACACTTGATGAACAGCAGGTCATGTAATTAAGAAACAAGAAAGGTTCAGCAAAGACCTGACACAGGACCTGAGAGATGCAGGTGAAGCGATTAATCCAAATTTTCAGTTTTTTGATTCAAATTGTCATCAGTGTGTATGGAAGCGAGCTTTGAATGTCCTACAAGAAGAAGAAGCTTGCCTAAGAGAGTTCTTGGTATGTTGAAGAATAAAGCTGGTTATACTGCATTTCCATGTATGTTTGCACAATAAATCCAGCATCTATTCCACATTTATCTTGCAAAATATAAAAAAAAATTGGAATGACTGAAGACTTTTGCACAGCACTGTATATTCGTGATGCTAAACTTCAGTGTTTTAAACATGATGTGATGGATCATTTTTCTTCCTTCCAGCCCACTAACTTCACCAACCCAGTTTATGCCACTCTGTATATGGGAGCTCACAACAGCCGCAACTCTCTGGCCAGCACAGATGAGAAGAAGGAGTTGCTATCCCGTGGAGATGAGGAGCCCCTTGTGGACCCACTGGCATAGACCTTGGTGCCGGATCACGCTATTCCAAACACCCCCCCATTCTTGCCTTTTAAAGAAAAATTGAACAAAAAAAAATCAATAAAAAGTGTGAGAGAAAATTGATAAACCATGTGAACACTGTATAAAATGTACAAAAATGAAGGACTACTTTTGTATGTGATTGCAGTATTATATTTTGTTCTTTTGAGATTCCTCTGGTCAAAAACAAATAACATTTTCTATGAGAGATTTTTAATTTCCACTTCGTCCCTTACCCTTTACCTAAATAGCCACTACCTCTGTGCAAAATGAAATGGAAACATGGAAATCATAAGAAAAAAAAAAGAAATGCTATCATTGGAGCAATTTTAATTTTTTATTTTTGTATGAATTGTATAGAAAAGACAAAAACATTGTTCCATTTCACCAGTGCCAACTGTCTGTTGTTTGTGTCGACTTTGAGCGGGAAAAGGCAAAAACTCAAAGTTTTTGAAATCGGTACATTTGTCATCTTGTCGAGCTTCTTGGCAAGAATGTGTGAGACAGATTTGTGATAGCACCGTTTGTGTATAGCACATGTAAAATGTCAATACCAGATGGCAACTACAGTATTTCCACGTATTTTTCTTTCTTTCTCAGAGAACAATGTTCATAAAATGATTGTGTGGTCTTCCTTGCACAGAATATCACATTTTACGGTATAGTGTATACTGTAGGCTTTATACCTTAAGATGTAAAGAAAATGTTTGTTTTTATCACTTTGTGTAACAGCTGGAGCTGATGTGTTGCTGTGGAGAAAGGATAAAGAGGCTTGTTGGTGCGTGATTGTGCAGTTATATGAAGAACGTGGAAGGTGGTTATGGGTTAAACATTCCAGGCAGAGTGATGGATGGAGATTACGGATGTAAAGCAATAGATGGGGTGATACTTTAATGGGTGGGTAGCTGGCTGTGTGTACATGCCCAGAAAACAGCTGGCTAACAATGGCGGGGGCTTTTTTGATAGAAGACTTATAGTGTCATGTTTGCACTATTTAGCGTCTGTTTTCTGGTCTTCCTGTAGAGGCTGCAATTATGGTCAAATGTAAGGAAGGAAAGATTTCTTTTCTATGTGTGTTCTGCTTCTCCAGCCCTGGTTTTTGTTCTGTAAAGACCAGGTAGCATCCATCTGGCTTTGTGAGTAAATTTGCCTTCAGAGGATCAAAGTCTGTATGTTCACAGTTGTGTAATGACTCTGTCTTAAGTGCATTATTTTCATTTGATCCTTAGCGTTTCTCTGTTTTCTTTCTTCAGCCCTTCCCCATCTCTTCTCTGTGCCCTGCTGCTGCTAATGCTACCATTCTGGTTGCTCTGACACGTCCTTACGCTCAGCCTCTGTCCCAAAATGCTGCTTCTGTCAGAAATGTGTCAGCCATATCTTAATGCATGTGAAAAGTAACACAAGTCTTCAGTGTAACTACAATAACAAGTTTTTATTTTGCTTACCTGTCAAGCCAGTGTTATTTTATGCCGTCGTGTATGTTTTGTCTTTAATTGAGAGAGAAGTACAATCATTTTACCGAAAGGACATTTTTGCTAAATCATATGTGCATTTCCAGACTTTTGTTTTGATTAGTCCTTGGTTTTTTTAAAATGAAAAATGACACATAGCTTTTATAGTACACAATGCATGGAGGCGCAGACTTTCTTCTGAAAAGAGAATAATGTTTAATTTTTGCTGGAGTACTTTACAAACTAAATAACAGATATTGTTATAAATAAAATTTTAAAAATTGTACAGAAAACAAGCCACAGTGTTCTGTGTTTTGTTCACAATTGGTCCTGATAAAAGGAGGAATTCAGTGTGGAGGATTTAATCATTTATTAGGCAAACAGAAAGTCAGACCATCAGCACTGTAGACCTGAGATTATATAAATCTGTGTTTATGCAAATCTACATTTTATATTGTTACATGATGAAAACTTTGACAATCAACAGAAAAATGTAATCACCCAATATTGAAGATAATATATATAGCTAATGAAAGAAGTCAATTCTAACCCCTATGATCATTTGAAGAATTAACAGAGAAAAGAGCAAAACAGAGTATTTGAATTTCAGTGTCTGTTTAAAGAGTCATCTTGTTTTTAGCCTCTTTGAGATCTAATCCAGCTGCACTTTGTATTAAGAACGTCACTCAATGCCTTTGGCCTTTAACTCTTCTTTGACTCTGCTCAGGTACTCAGGGTCAGGATACCCAAAGCTGTGGAAACAGAACATATCCAAGGTTAACATGTAGTATTTTATTAGAGAAAACAGTAAAAGAAAAACATATATCAAAACGCTAGTAAGGAAATTGGTTACCCTACCAATCTGGTCCTCCAGATGTGGATGTTTTGTGGTGAATGTCATTCCAGGTCACCTGGCCGTCCATTCCAGTTGTTCTGGATGTCCCAACAGTAAAAATGAGCCTCTGGTCAAACGCTTTTTTCAGCAGTCGCAGCACTTCATTGCCCTCTTTGTTGTTTGGAAGATATGCTGTTCTACTAATACCATAATAGTGCTGTCCAGGATTGGGATGTTTTGCCTTAAAAGCAGAATGGAAAGTAAATAATATTAGAAAAATATATACATACAACCTCAAATGAAAACACAATCATGTTTTGTTTTTTTAAACAGGGACATAAGCATTCAGATAAAATTGTCACTTACCGTCTGTGTTCCACTTGAAATCTCATAGCTGATCTTTATGGTGCCACAGTCGAAGTATCCAGGGAGGGGAAATGTGAGTATCTGGTGTGACATTCTTCCATCTGGTTGGTCTCCGACTATCTTACCAAAGACAACTCTGCATATAGGACAGATGGGCCCATTCGCCTTCTCCGCTTGTTTCAGACAGTCTTTACAAAATTCATGTTTACAGTTGAGCTGTCTCTTGTTTTTGAATTTATCCAAACATATAGGACACCTTTCATCACTTTGGTCACCTGCTCTTTTCCCACTGTCAGTTGGTGGGTCAATGTTGTGCTTCCTGTTTGCTGATTGGCCATTCAACACAGGCTCATTGGAGGCCCCCTCTGATTGAGAAATGATTGTGCCACTGAACCCAGTGGCACCATGGAACTGGAATGAACTCTTGGGGGATGAAACAAACCTCTGGTGTAGACAGAGAAGTGCTCTGAGGGCGTGGCTCTCCATGGAGGCATTTCCTTCATCTTTTTTGTAGAGAGCTGTGACATTAACTTTGCCTTGATCAATATCTGATTTTTTAAGTTCCACATTAAACTTAGCTTTGATCTTTGCTACTTGCTTATTATCATAGATAGTCTTCCAAAATGTCTTCTCAATGATCAGTCCTGCATGCGGGAAATCATCTTTGATGGTCATGTCAATATTCAGTGATGTGTTTCGAAACTCATGAGAAGCATCTGTGTTTCTTTTCCAATGTGTATCTGCATATAAGCACTTACTGATAACATCTTGACTTTGTCTTGGTCCACGCACAGTCATTGTTTCAGAGGTCAGAGTAACCAAAAGCTTGTTTTTCTTTTTCTGGATGGTTTTCAGTGCATCGCCCCACTCATCTGACTCTATGAACTTGAAAGGAATAACTGAGCGACAGGATTCAACTAAGCTTTTCTGGACAAGGTTTGCAAACTCATCGAGAGCACGGTCTGGGCTCCCATGTTTTTGGTCTACTTCATATCTCACCTTCACATCTGCCATGATTTTAACCCCATTCTCTTTTTCTATAAGTTGCATTTCCTCTTCGTACATGTGGCTCACGTACCAGAAATGACCCACTGGGATAGAACAAGTGTACATTTCTTCACCTGCAGGATCTCTGCTACTCTGTTTCCCCTGCTGAACTTGCTCCTGGTAAATAATAATAATCATCATCATCATCATGTTCATTTGTTAAAGATCACATTTTTCCATTTTTTATGATTAATGACACAGTACATACAGTTTGTGGCTCTGACTTTGGGGAAGTACCACTATCTTCTTCAGTTGTAGAACCTGTGTTACTCTCCTTCCCTGGCTGAATGTGCTCCTGTTGAAAAAATAAAGTACTTCATTCAGTTCAACAGCATCCACGTACGCACGCACGCACGCACGTACGCACACACACACACACACACACACACACACACACACACACACACACACACACACACGTGTGTATATATATATATATATATGCCTATGTGTGTGTGTGTATTTTTAATGATTTACTACACAGTGCATACAGTTTGTGGAGCCGGCACAAATGTACGATGGTTTGTCAAAGCATCCTCTGAAGCACCTGTCTGTTCTCCACCTGCTGAAACTGCTTTACTTTGCTTTCCCAGTTGAACCTGATCCTACAAATACAGTACATCATTAATTTTAACAGAATGCATTAATATTGGTTTTTTAATAATTTACTACATGTTACATACAGTTTGTGGATCTGGCACAGATGCAGAAGGGTTCATTGAAGCATCCTCTGGTATTTGTGTATCAAGCTCTGGAGATGGCAGTGTGAGACTGATGGATATTATGGTGACTAAATCTCCATCCCTCTCAGTTAGTGTTTCTTTATTCAGTTTCTGAAGCTCAGTCAGGGCTTAAAAGACAGAGACAAAATGGATTAAAAAAAAATCAATATAATTATACAGAATTTATTAGAAATAAATGCTTTTTTTGGAGAAGTTATAAAGATAAGAGAGTAATCAGATGATTATGTAGGAGTTTACACCTGGAGCTGGTTTAATGTTTACCACAACATGGCCATCTTTTAGGGTCCTTTTCACTGCACAGTCCACCTTATGTTTGCATTTATTGAACCAAGTCTGAAGCATTCTATGTAGACGAGTCTCTAGCCTCTTCACTTTTTGTGGTTCATCATCAGACTTTGTCCACTTCAGTGAGAGAACAATGTGTGCTTCATCTTGATCCTGTAATAAAAAAACACACACACAATAAAAATATGCAAGCCTATGATATTCATCCAAAATTACATTTATTTAAATATGTGTATATATTTTTTAATTGTTGAAAAATATCTTTTAAGAATTCCATTCTTTAGTATTATAGACAAGACTAAAGCTTGTTTTCTTTTTGGTCCAAACTAAGGTTTTCAAACTTAGGGTTCCTTAACTATTGTACTTATGAATGAATAGTGTGAGGTTAGCCACATGTCATATTTTCACATTTGTCACACTGATGTCGCCTTGCAGCCTTAGAACTTTACAATGTTCTTACTGATGATCAAAGTAACGCTGAACAGCTTTACACATTGTTAAGTTCCTCAATCTCACAACTCTTACAATACAATGCTGATGCTTTGTATTCCATCTAGTGGCACTTTGAAACCTTACAAAAAATTTCACTCATGACAACAGCCACACTGAACAGCTTTACACAATCTTTCAGTATTTCCTGAACCTCCAGAGTTGATAAGCTAAGATTATGCTGACCTTGTAATCTCAGTAGTTTCACTTTCATATAATCTTTACAAGAATACGAAAAAAAACAAAAACAAACCCGGAACACATTAAGTATAAGCACACAAACTCACCAAAATAAAAAATCTTTTTAAGTATAAAAGCAAACCGTGGCCTCAAAAGTGCACTTTAAAATATGTAAGGCTCCTACTGAAAATAAGCACTGTGGATATTTAATGACTGCATTAACACCACATTTCCTGAAACTATATTATTGTATTCTGATTCGGTGCTAGTTTACATACTTGGCTCATGTCATCAGGTCTGTCAACCTCCATGGGCTCTGCACTGGCCATGTTCAAGATTTTGATCGTCTTCCTTCAAAACACAACACAAACAGACGACATGACACAGTGTGTTTTTTACTCAGACAACCAACAATTCTTTATTTGCTGATTTTATATAAAAAACGTTTCCATTAATAACGTCGTTCTCCACCCAGTCTACAGAGCTACACTCTCGGATACACTCCACTTTACTGTTTTCTTACGTCTTGAATTATAGCCAAACCTTCAACAACCACAACGTTATATCACACGTTTTATGTATCATCTAAACAGAAATGTATCTTGAAAATATGACTTTACTGCGTATTAGACTTACCCCTGCCTCGCTACTTTAAACTGTTTTTTCCTTGTAAACGAAAGTGAAAGCTTCACAACAGTCACGCTCAAGTGCGCATCTGACATTTAGAGGAGGTCCGTTTGCTCAGTTAAAATGACTGTGGATACTAAACCTCCCTTCATTTCCAGAAAGGAAAGAAGATATCCTTTATGCGATTTTTATGTTGTTTGCTCGTTATCTTGATATTCACAGTTTGTGTAAGCTCACTTCTGATAAATATCTATTGTCTCATATGATTCTGACACATGTACAGCACTGACTTGTTTTATTTTGCACTCCTTCAGCTATACAGCATGATGCTGAAAATAAAATAATTTACTGCAGGCTATAACTCATGCAACAGGTAAAATGTATCATTTACAATCCACGGAAATTTTCTGTTTGACATTTTCTTTAGTGTAAATCAAAAACATTTTCTGATAATATGTTACCAATTCTACTCATGTTTCACTTGCTACAGAGATTTTCTGGTGTTGTGTTTGTACTTTTATAAAAAAGCATTTCTGCCACCACTTAAAAAAAGTGATATATTGTGGTTCCGTCCTAAAAATGCTCCTCCATTCTTTGCAGTTACAAATAAATGAAATCTTTTCATGTAGATTCAACATGCAGTGGGAAAGATCCTTTAATATACAGTATTTCACATTTCCATTACAGTATAGTATTATATGTGTGTGTGTGTGTGTGTACACATATATATATATATATATATATATATATATATATATATATATATATATATATATATATATATATACATACAGTCGGGGTTCCACTGTAATTTCAACATAAAGTGCAGTTTTTCTTCTTAAAAAAATAAAGCAGAAACATAAAAGGTTATTTTACCAGCTTCACTTTAAAACTGAGTAACCTTAGCCAAAATTATTTTGTACTTTAGGCTAAAACAGTGATCATCGAACATTTTAGTGCAAAAAATAACAAACCCATTGGAATCACAATAAATCCATGCTTATTTACTTTCCGTCTCTTTCAGCCAGTTAGACAAACTAGCCTGTTCACATTTTCAGAGCTAAAGGCAGCTCTCTTTTTTGTTACTATGTGACCTGCAAGTGAGAACAGTCTCTCACAGGGGCAGAAGTTGCTGGACTAATCAAATATTTGCGGCTTGGACATACAACTGTGGGTGGGTCCCTGCTCGACTGGACCACCACTGCAGCGGGCTGATGGTGGATTCTGCTCTGTACAAACTCAGGGCCCTGTTACACGGGACTTCCTCATCTGAATCAGAGTCTGAAGACAATGAAGAGAGGAGGAGGCTCTTTGTCTTTGCTGGGTTCTTAATGGTGGCATCTTTACACTGTCCCTGCAGCAGGGCCTCAAGGCTGGTCCAGACCTCTTCTCACTCTCCCCTTGCAAGACACTTTAAATCCTTAAAGCGTGAGTCAAGCACAGTAGCTGTCTTGATCCACTGATGGTTGAGCGTAGCTGCACGTTGGGACAGGTCATTTATGAAGGCAGTCCTAAATTTTACCATGTAGTTTCAGTCATCATCAGAGACCACCATGGTGTGATGCAGATGGCAGAAAGCAGGTAAAACCACTGAACATGAAAGATATGTCGCACCTCCAAGAAGCTTAGTCACAAACCTGTAGTAGACAGTCCAAGAAAGAAATTATTAATCTATACAATAACTGTCAACTATACAGCTTTTTGAAGAAACAGTAACAACAAGTTAAAAAAATAGTTTTACAGTGGCTTGCAAAAGTATTCGGCCCCCTTGAACTTTTCCACATTTTGTCACATTACAGCCACAAACATGAATCAATTTTATTGGAATTCCACGTGAAAGACCAACACAAAGTGGTGTACACGTGAGAAGTGGAACAAAAATCATACATGATTCCAAACATTTTTTATAAATAAATAACTGAAAAGTGGGGCGTAGTAATTATTCAGCCCCCTGAGTCAATACTTTGTAAAACCACATTTTGCTGCAATTACAGCTGCCAGTCTTTTAGGGTCTGTCTCTACCAGCTTTGCACATCCAGAAACTGAAATCTTTGCCCATTCTTCTTTGCAAAACAGCTCCAGCTCAGTCAGATTAGATGGACAGCGTTTGTGAACAGCAGTTTTCAGATCTTGCCACAGATTCTCGATTGGATTTAGATCTGGACTTTGACTGGATTGCCTGATAAATGCTAATGACTAAATAGAGTGCGCCTGTGTGTAATCTAATGTCAGTACAAATACAGCTGCTCTGTGACGGCCTCAGAGGTTGTCTAAGAGAACATGGATATGTTTTGTTTTAAACCATTCCATTGTTGCCCTGGCTTTATGTTTAGGGTCGTTGTCCTGCTGGAAGGTGAACCTCCGCCCCAGTCTCAAGTCTTTTGCAGACTCCAAGAGGTTTTCTTCCAAGATTGCCCTGTATTTGGCTCCATCCATCTTCCCATCAACTCTGACCAGCTTCCCTGTCCTGCTGAAGAGAAGCACCCCCAGAGCATGATGCTGCCACCACCATATTTGACAGGGGGATGGTGTGTTCAGAGTGATGTGCAGTTTTCCGCCACACATAGCGTTTTGCATTTTGGCCAAAAAAGTTCCATTTTGGTCTCATCTGACCAGAGCAGCTTCTTCCACATGTTTGCTGTGTCCCCCACATGGCTTGTGGCAAACTGCAAACGGGACTTCTTATGGTTTTCTGTTAACAATGGCTTTCTTCTTGCCACTTTTCCATAAAGGCCAACTTTGTGCAGTGCACGACTAATAGTTGTCCTATGGACAGATTCCCCCACCTGAGCTGTAGATCTCTGCAGCTCGTCCAGAGTCACCATGGGCCTCTTGGCTGCATTTCTGTTCAGCGCTCTCCTTGTGCCTGTGAGTTTAGGTGGACGGCCTTGTCTTGGTAGGTTTACAGTTGTGCCATACTCCTTCCATTTCTGAATGATCGCTTGAATCGTGGGATGTTCAAGGCTTGGGAACTCTTTGTAGCCTAAGCCTGCATTAAATTTCTCAATAACTTTATCCCTGAACTGTCTGGTGTGTTCTTTGGACTTCATGGTGTTGTTGGTTCCAATATTCTCTTAGACAACCTCTGAGGCTGTCACAGAGCAGCTGTATTTGTACTGACATTAGATTACACACAGGCGCACTCTATTTAGTCATTAGCATTTATCAGGCAATGTCTATGCGTAACTGACTGCACTCAGACCAAAGCCACTGTATGTACCTGCATGGCTCAAGGACAGTCACCAGCTTTTGGAGTTTTACCAGCTCTGATGGGAGTTAAAATGACCAGCTTGTTCTTTTGTTTATCCAAAGCTGCAAAAACATCCTCTTGATTTCTTAGTATTGGAAGAAGAGAAATCATATCCAGCATTGAATTCCACAGTGTGGAAACATCCTGTATGAGTGGCTCTCTCTGTTACCCCAGTCTTCATTGCTCCTTGTGTAGTTCCTCCATATTAGCACGACTGTCTGTAATGCATCTAATTTTGCTTGCTTTTAGGTGTCATAAAGCTGTTAAATTTTACTTGAAATAGTCTGCAGTTGGAAAGTTGGATCACCCAATGCTAACTGTAACACATTTTCTAACCATACAAGAAATTGTATCACAAATATTCACAAAATAAAACTGTTACAAAATTGAATTAATAAAATTCATGATTCTATTTGTTCCTACTTGCTGTACATAGTTTTGACAGTTTTTTATATGAATTGAGAATTTGTTTTTTCTAGCTTTACATACATCCTTTCATTCTTTATATTCTGAACTAAAATAAGCAAAAAATAAATAAATAGTTTTTTTAGATTCAGTCAGAAGAGTCCG